GGGATTTCCGCTAAAACTAATCAATCAGAGGCCGATAAAGGGCTGCGCACAGGAGTGTTGACACAGGGTCAGCCTGTCCCCCGACCCCTGGCTTGGGTCCAGCGTCTCAGAAAGGCTCCGATAAACGAGAGTCCTGGCTAATTGTGCGGCCAGTGTCAGCACCTTCAATGCATTCCACTTTCTAATTCCTGTCCTTCGACCCCCCCCACCGCCCCCAACCCAGCCACCCTTTTTCTGCGAGCTCCCCCGGACAGGAGGGTACCGCCGCTGGTGGGGCCCCCCTGCACAGTGCAGCGCAGCAGCGCATCCTCCCCGCACATGGGCTGTCCGAGGTACACGCGCGCTCCAGCTGCCAGGGTCCCTCCCTCCCTGCCTGCCTGCCTCCCGTCACCGGGGACGGAGATGGCCATCGATCGGGAGAAAGGGACAGGCGCACCGAAGGTTCCCCGTGAACTGCCAAAAGCCAGAAACTCCCAAATGGAAGCATACAGGGACAGACGGACGGAGCCACAACGAACAGCCCTCCCATCGCTCCTGGACGTTCACACGGCAACGGGACCCAAGGAAAATCATGAAGAAAGAAGAGGCAGGAAACAGCAGCATCCTCCAGTGGCATTAAATGTGGTGTCGCTCTCTTCCTACGCGAGACGGACCCAGCAGACGGCAGAGCAGAAAAAAGAAGCAGATCCTGGTACTCACTGAAGACGCTTTGGCTGGCTCCTCTCCCCGTCCGTCCTCCTCAGTAGCAGCGTCCCTGCCTGCCTGCCTGCCTGCGTGCCTGGGTGTGCGAGTGTGTGCGCGTGTCGTCCGTGTGGAGGGGTACAGCTCCAGCACGCGGGCTCAGGGAGCACGGTCGCGGCACTCAGGCTGCCTGTGCTATTGCCAGTGGCTCGCTCCACTCTGGCTGAGGGAGAAACTAAAGCACTTTTAAACTCGCACAAGCCGCCCATGTGACCAGCCCAGCCTCAGCGAGGCAGTCAGGAATACATTAGCCAGCCAGCCTTGTCCACAGGGCGCCCCCTAGCTGCCATTTTGGGAACTGAATGCTGTGAGGAGAGACGAATGCAAAACATTCTTCACTGGGAGATACATGCACAGTAGGGTGGGGGGGGGGAGGGGACTGGAAATGATTTTTAATTTATTTTCAATTAGATTTCCTGTAGTCATTAAAAATGTCTTTCTTTAAATATTTAAGGAAACACAGTGTATTATAGCTTGATCATTTGCAGTTGAACATGCTGTTTCATTCCCAGGACGGGATCACACTGACTAATGCCATAATGCTCACCTCTCCCCCGCCATGCATGCCACACTGTTTTTATTTTTCATTCATTGTTGTTGTTGTTGTTGTTATTTTTCAAACCTGGGAAACTTCCGAAAGAAAATAAATAGTGACATTTGAAATATCACACAGATTAAATATGGCATTTAAAATCCCCGATACTTGGCTGCAGATAAAGACACTGGAGCTGTGAATGCAAGGCACACCCTCGCCCAGCGATGCCCGGCAACGAAAGAGCCCTCTGAGCATCTACAGCGACACGTCTGACCACACAGGGCGTGTCGCTGGAGCGGCTCTAATGCAGAACGCCACTCACAAGGACATTAAAGACCTCCATAAATGAGAAGAAAGGCACAGAGATACCTGACGCCCACCGCCTACCCACAATGCCCCGCTCCGCACTCTGTCCCCGCTCGGCTCACAGTTTAGTTTTGCTTTGTCCCTCCGCACCCCCACGCCCATGAAAGGGAGTCATCCTTGACACAGCTAGTGCACCCCCCCCCGACTTCTTTTCTGATATGCAAATTTGGTTTTTTTGTGTGTGTAAAACAATGTGGGGGTGAATACACGCTTGTGTGTGGCACATTTACAAATCAATTCTGATGTCCAGCCAAACCCTGCATTAAACATGAGGTCTCTGTGGGGGGAAAACTCATAGGAGAGACCCCCCCCCCCACCACGTTAGCATGATGTCTGTCACTTTATCCGTAACACACTATGGTGCACGGGAGCGGCACAGAACACAGACGGATGGATGGATAGACACGCATGTGTGCGCACGAGGCCTGACTCTGTGTGCACGTCCGTGTAATACAGCCATTAAAATACAGGCATTAATATGAAAGGATCATCAGCCTCAGGCACTTTAACTGCACGTTCCGGCGGGAAAAGGCCAAGCTGCCCGCCTGCACCGGCGGTCATGAGCGAGGGACACAGACCGGCGACTAAACGCCAGCTGCCAGGGCTCCCGCGATGCCGTGCGAAGATGCCGTGCGAAGATGCTGTGCGAGGCCAAGGCTGAAGTGACCCGGGAAGGTGGGGGGCGGTGGAATGCTCCCCCCCGTGCCGAGTGGAGCGGAAAGGTCGCCTCGTCTCCGGGAGCGAGGCCCACCAGCCCCCCGGGACAGGAATGCATCTAACACCGCTATCCAGCGTCTGTGTAGCGTCCACAGAACAGTGACCGGGGGCCCGACCCCTCCCGACTCTGCCCGACGGCATTCCACACAAATAAAGGGATGACAGTCACATGGCAGCAGGGGGGCACCGACACGGATGGGGACGCGGTCACATGCTCGACCACAATGTCACCACCGTGAGGCAACGCTGCGGTGAGGCAGGAGAGGAAGGGCCCGGATCTGCAGGAGTGAGAAGCTGCTCACTTATGCATCAGAAACATGGAGAAGCCCTTTACTTTCCCCCAGTGGAGGTTTGAGGGCGTGTGGGGGGGAGGGGGCGCGGGTTGTGAAACCCCCAGTGCGTCCTCATGTGTACTCCTTGCCGGGTGGGGCCGGCCATATGCGGGGCTGCATCACACCCTTTGAAGGAGCGCTTTCGCATGAGATGCTCTCTGCGGGGACTCCCCCGGCACTCCCTTCCCTGCCCGGCAAAGCCACGTCACACCGCTGTGACTCGACTGTTTGCAATTTACCATCTGAAAGGCTGAGTGAGGCAGGCGCCTTCAAAAACATGCATCATCATCATTGTTAATATTATTATTAATGGAAGGAACATCATAGGAACCAGCTGTGCCAGTACCATCCATACCAGTTAAACGTTGTCACTGGCCACTCCCACCCAGTAAGCACTGGCTCCACCCACACCTTGTAGATGCCCCTCCCCTTCTAAAATGCCTGTCCAGTGACACCTCTCTCTAGCTGTTCCGGCTTCCCAACCTCTGAGTCCCACATCATAAGGTGACCTTTGACCCCTTAGGGGAAGCCGGCGGTGCGGTGCTTAAGGACCGGGATTTCGGGGCAGGCCACCACAGGTGCCCCTGGGGCAGCTCCCCTGACATCCTGCTGTCTCCACCCTGAGCTCCCAGCGCTGGAGCATCTTTCCAACAGCTGTTAAAACAGAAGCTCATCTCTCCATTAAAGGCTGCAGACTCACCTTCAAGATGACCAGCATTTAGTGGGCGGGTTTTAAAGCAGAGAATTGTACACTTTGTTTTTTAAACTTGTTAAATTACCCCTACCTCCACCCCCAACTGCCCTCCAGCCCCCAGCCAAATTTTTGCCTGTCAACAAGCCAGTTTCAAGAAGGAGGACTGTACCAATATCCTGGCCCTGCTGAATGTCCATTAACAGTATTCATAAAAATGTAGAGTTGGTTCAGTCCACAGCTCCCGCCGCGGTGCCCTTCAGACCAGCCACTAAGGGCATTCCTTGACTACACAAGGGCACCAAAGGGTAGAACTTGTAATAACAAAGTAGTGATACTCTGTCTTATTTCCCCTAGTGCTGCTATTTGTCATTTACATAACAAGTTGAGTTCAGGGCAAGCCTGCCTTCTGTTCAAATATCAACGTCTAAACCAAATACCCACGTATTTTCTCCACAGTACAAACGCATAATCATGTCTGTTTCTCCCCAACGCCGTGCGCATGCAAATCACCCCTCAGACTGGCTGAAAAATGTCTGAATTCCAGGTTTCTTAACTAGCGACAGAGTAACTATGGAAATTATTGTTTGTTCCTGTCCTGAAAAGCCACAATTACAGTTAGTTAAGAAACTTGAAGAGCACTTAAAGCACCGCAATGCTGTCGCCCGACTCGACGTTTTCTTCTTCTGCACACATTGAGTTACACCGATGTCTCGCACTGTCAAGTTGGGAGGTCCCACAGTTACTGGTGACGGCGATGGCCAGTTTAAACCAGCTCCAATGTCTCGTTGTCCATGAAGGATATCCGACCCCACAGACCAGGATGTCAGCCAATAATCATGCAGGTCACCCAAGTGCTATCATTCCCTGAGCTGCTCACAAACTACAAGCGGAAGGTCCCCACTACGCTCTTATCTTATTGCCATGTAAACTCTATCGGGCACATTTGGCAGATAAAAAATAAATGAATCTCTATGGTATTTGCTCATGTGATAGAAGCAAACTATAAATAAATGACAATCGCGTTTCCCTCTGTGCATCCACAGATCTGCATGGAAACTCGTGATATTTATAAAAATACATCCATCCTCAGCAACTGGTCTGTGCCAACAAGCCCCCTTCAGATGAAAGTGTAATCAAAATACCAGGCAAACGTTTTCATCTGCAGCCTGGAAACGGGATTGTCACAGAACGCAAACTTAGTAACACACGCCCCAGTTCCTCCAAAATCGCCCCCCCCCCCCAAAAAAAAATGTCCTTCAGGGTTGGCACATTCAGATGCCATTTTGACAGTGTGTCACAGAAACGGGTCAAGTCGATAAGACGATTTTTCATTTCCCAAACTGTGCTTGGTGAGTCTAGTGCACCATTCAGCACGATGACAGACTGTTATTTATGCAAACATCTCGAGCGGCATGCCCATCTAGTACACCCTCTTGCGTATTGAGTGCTGGTGTCATTAACGCAGCACAACTTCACGAAGTGCTACAGACCAGAGGAGGTCATTCAGCCCTCCATATTTTTCTTTGGATATTTAATAACTATAACTAAACATGCATACGATTAACTTATGAAGAATAAATGTGCGTAGAAGGAGATCCAGTGCAGGCTTGAAATAACTAATCCGAAGTTTACACTTGCACTAAACTCCTTAAAAACTCTTTTAATGCTGAAAAAGCCCGGTTCCCTATTGGCTGTCACTGGTGACCTTGTGTGATTGCCTCCGTAGTTGTCAGAGTTGTTTATACCTGTCTGTGCGCTTCCCAAGGTGCAGTCGATCGAGCCTCGCCAGTCGCCTTGGTCAGTCACCAAAGGAGCTGCATTTCTACCAACTTACTGTTGTACTGGATCCTTTTAAGGTGCCCAGAGCCTCGAGCAGCACAAAGAGCTGGAAGCGAAGCCCTTTGCGAGCTCGGGTTTAATTTCTCAGTGCTCACAGACTGATCCCTCCATTTTTACACTGCTTTGTACTGCAGCATCCATGTAGGGGCACAGACCTTGTGATCTCCCGAGGTCTGCATCTCACTTTCCACATAGCTTTGAAATTCTCTTTTAGCTCAAAGTCTCCCCAGCTCTATATTTACCCCACCTGCCAGCCGCATGCCATGTTCATCTCACCTGCGTGTTTAATGCTAAATTATTAACATTCCTTCCATTTTTGTCAGCAAATTATTTAATTGGAAAGCATGAATAATTTGCATTAAATATGAATTTTTTGCACTGCAACCCTCAACAGAAATTACAGTGGCATCCAGTCTACCCCAATTCTGTGCTGCCTGGACAGCCACCGGAGCCCCCCGCCCCAGCCCCCGCCCGGCGGTGACGTCCAGTATAAGCAACTGAAATGATTGATGGACAAATAAAATAAGAACAACAATGACAAAAGCGAGAGACTGACCAACAGCACAATGCATCAACTTCCTGTAAACAATGACCTTCACACAGGAAACTATTGACAGTAACTCTCTATAGGGCACTTTCCTTGAGGAAAAACGCTAAATACAATTTTACAGATTGATTGCAGGTCCTTAAAAAATGAAAAAAAATAAAACTTCCACAGTGCACACAACCCCTATGT